ATTACAAGAATAAAAACATTGCTGCAAATTCTGTTTAAAATAAATTTTGAAAAAATTATTACAATTAAAGAAAAGTTGCAGGGAAATAAAATTAGTATAATTGAAAATCTAATTTTTTTATTTTAAAGTGACGTAAAAATGGTTTTTTAGGAAATTATTTTGGAAAAATGTCTTATTCAAGCTAAAATCTCGATTAATCTTTAATTAATTAAAAATCTAACTAAAGTTTTGAAAATTCTTTCTTAATGAACACCCACTACCCAAAAAAGCAACTACTTGCCAAATTTGCCAGCTCTACTGTCCTACAGCCCAGAGAAAAACTCTAGACACCAGACATGCAGGTGGAGGTCGTTATGGAAACGGGATATACCAATGCAGTTTGGGGGTGAAGGAAAGGGCTTTATTTTGTTTGGAGCAGATAGATCCGGCGGAAGTCTCATTTCGCTTTGTACTTCGGTCGAAAACGATTTTCTCGCCTAAAGGAGCGCGTTTTGTTTGCCAAATGTTGCGGTTGATTTTATACCCGTTTCCCTTCTTTCTTCGACTCGTCTACTTGAGGTAACCCTGTTTAGGGTTTTTCTCCTGGCGGTAGGACAGTAGGTCCGACAGTCTGACCTGTACTGTGCGTTACGTTTCACGTTTCAGTATGTTTGTACGATTTTTGCTTCACGCAATTTACAGAAAGTATGCCAACCTGTAAACATAATCACGTTAATGTCCCGCGCGCAGCTTCGGAAAGGAAAGTTTATCTAGCTACAGAAAGCAAGCCCTATTTACTAACAACAAATAATTACTGCATCAACAAATCAATGCGAAAGCTCTCCGACCCACTTTCTCGTGTATTTCTTACCCAACACAACATATAACATAAGCTTTCTGCTTAAGTTTAGTTTTTTCGTATCGTGAAAAGAATCCAGAATGCATTTGGACCACTTCCCGTCCACCGATTTTGTTTAAAATTTGATGCAGATCTATACTTTGATTGTAAAGATCATACTCTAAAATTCATGTATCTATCTCCTTGCTGTTTTGAATTATATATTTAACACAACTTCATGTCCCCGTACCTAGAATCATTATGATTCTTTATAATCGGTTTAGATGGACATGAAGTGGAAGCGAACACGAAAAAATTTAAAAACCAATTTAGCAATCTAAAAAAGAAAAATTTTGAAATAAATTATATAACTAAAGAAGAAACAAACAAATAACAGAATAAAAACAAAGAAGGTAACTGTTTCGGCGTAGAAGACATTTTTTCCTCTTCCAGCTATAGCCGCCTTGGGAAGCTGCGCATGCGCAGCTCTCTAGAATTTTGATTAATTTTTTTATTTTTTTATGCTTAGCTATTCAGAAATGGCAATGCTTGTTGTTAGTGGTGCAGTGTATCTTGTGCTATGTTCTTGTTGTTCGCCATGTTTTATATCTGCTGCTTCCTTGCTCTATGTTCGCTTAATGCTTAATATGTAGAATAAATATTTAAAATACTAAGCGATTCTTCACCGAACCTGGTTTTTGAACTATATGTGTCTGACCAAACAGTAACGTAACAAAATAATAACAGAAGTGTTCATGGTGTTACTAGAAAGACTTTCTGTCTTGTGGAATATTTTTTTGACTCTACTGTTTGACCATGATCATATAATTATGCTTATACTAAAATTCCATATTCAAACTTGGATGTTGATGTTGATTATTGAACTTCGATCGATGTTCAATCTGAAGAGTTACGTGGTTTTCAAGCTGCCTTATCTAAGAGTGAATTTTCATAAAATTTGTTTGCAGGAATTTCTTAGTTTTTTAAAACCTTCCGCGCAAGCGAAATACATGTTCGACAACTTCTACAGAATTAGCTTTTTTTATATGTGTCTTCGCAATGCTTAAAATTATTGTACCGAAGACTCTTGGTAATCCGGCCTCTCATATAATCGGGTGTTTGAGCAGAGCGAGTGGGAGGTGTCAAAAGGAAATGAAGTCATTGCATGCGCATGTCAGTGACCTTGGTGCGACATAAACAATAGGCTGCTGCTCAGATTTTGCAATGAATATTTATTATGTATAGTATAATCTTGTATATTTTACGCAATAATCATAGGTTTTGCTATTAATATGTGATTTTTTTAACCATTTCAAGTTCACTATATGTTTCGTTCTGAAAATTACTAAATTTATTTCAAAAATGAATATTAGGCACGTAGCTAATCATAAATATGTATTGAAAAAAAAATTAGCATTTTTTATTTTCGAGAAATTTGTGGTTTCACAGTGAAACCAAAGAACAGTAACAGATTATTTTTCCTTCGAGTAAGTTATCATTAAAATGCAATTTAAATTATGTATTTAATTTATAAGTATATGTGAGTATTCAGGATATTCAACCCTCAAAAACTTCAATATTACTTTCTGAGATACAATTTTAAAAAATATCAATTTGTGCAAGAACCTCAACATTTTGTTTCTCTTAGAGATCGAAAGCAATTTAGCTCTTGCAATGCCGATATCTTTGTGAATACTAACGATATTGAACTGGAATTTTTATATAAGTTGGCCTATATATCTGGCTCTTAAGTTATGAAGGAAAAATTACGCTACGCTCATGCGCAGTAAAAAATTGCTCAATGTGTGCTTTCACTGCGTAACCAATGGACGCGAAAGGGTTAATGAACCTCCCCTAATTCGGCACTTTCGATAATCCGGCAGTCCTCTGCTCTGTTATCTGCAGGTTTGCTGAAAGACTTCTGCAATGGCTTTAAAATTCCTATTTAACCCTTTATCTACTGGCGGTACTTTAAAGTACTGCTTTAATCACGTTCATACCTTCGCAATATGGCCGCTTTTCCTGACAGTATTCACAAGAACACGGAGAATGGAGTTTCAATAACAAACAGTAAATGGCAGCTGAAGACAGAAAGTAAAATCTTTCAATTATTAATTAAATTAATTAAGTAATTTTAATTAATTAAAAAAGTGTTTTTCTCATTCCCAGGGTTATTCTACATACAAAAATTATCTAATGATTAAAAAACAAAATTAAAAAGTTGCTAGTAAGTAAATTCAGTAAATAGAGGGTTAAGGAAGGAACGTGTCTTTTGTAACTGTATTACAAATCTATCAAATCCTTATTATTTGTTACTTCATAAACAGTCACACTTTGATTACTTTTGAATTGCTTTTCCGTTGTCCTACAGCTCCTTAAACGAGCTTCATACTGTCTTCTTCACTCACGCTTTCTTCTGAAATTAGAGGAAACACCTCTCAGACGCTGTCAGGTGGAATGCAGCGATCCCACCCTCTTGGTTCATAGAGTCGAGACCGGGGAATCTCCTCCTTAGTATTCCAGCAGTGATGCGCCTCATTTCCATACGCCAAACGTAAGAGACCACTGACAATGGAAGCGAGTGACAATTTTTTTGTTCTCTCACCCGCACACCCCCGACGCATTTTAATGTGCTCTGCGATAGGCATCTCCGAACAATTTCTGCATGAGTTATGTGACAGTTGCCATAGGAAGCCATTAGGTTCTGAAATGGAGAAGAAAGAAAAGGTGTCGTCGAAGTACTTCATCGACCCCCACGTGCAACAGGTGGTCCACACGGGACACGTCTACCATGGACTGGTGAAAGTGGATTTGGTTATTAGAATGAAATTAAAAGTGACACATAGTGGATATTTGTTTCTCTCTTTCATACATTACCTTCTTAAAAATCGAATTGAATTCATAGGTTTTGAAATCATGGTAAGATTGATTATACAAAATCTCAGTGCACCTTCTTGGCTGTATTTCATTTTAACGAGGATTCGACATTATTGATGCGTTAATGGGACACTCTGTAGAGAAAGCATTGATAAAGACTTCGCACATGCACATTAGGAAATCATTTTGATCTACTTTAAAATTCGCACAGTGAAATAAAAAAACTTCCCTCAAAATTTAATAATAAATGAAAATGTTTTCATAGCATTCACGCGACTGAACAAAACCAAATATTAAACTTTTGATTTCATTATTATTCAACTTCTCATTCCTAGGATGACAGCGATTTGTATTAACTCTATTTTTCATTTTGTGAGATTTTAAATTCAGTTTTACTTTCTCAAACGCGAAGTGTACTGTAATCGCCAAAAAATTCGACCTCAAGATTTTGGTGAATTTCTACCTTTAAGATTTCCCTGAGCCTTCCCCTCCTCCTGACCCGCAAGCAAAACTTATTTTAAGCTGGCCATTCATCTGTACTCCATTCCAAACCATTTGTCCCAAGACAGGTTTTTTTCTCATCCATTCAAGACGAAAAATGAGGCACACCATTCACGGAGGCTCCAATGTATGTTTTGAGACAAGGTTCAAAGTCGCAGAATTCTATCCATCCCCCTCCTCTTCCCCTATGCCGGAGATTTCGATTTTAATTTTACCCTCGACGTGAGGTTTCAATGTAGGCAGATCCTTTGATGTGCCGCTACCCTCTAATCGAAGCCCCAAATTGGAATCGGCGAATCAAGTGTTGGATTTTGAGTTCGTTTGAATCCCAGCATTGCCATTCCGGTATGCAATTTCCATCGGTTTTTAAAACTGACGATTGCTTTTTCCTTCCTGTGTTCCAAAAATTCCATTTGGGAAGAGATGTGAATGGCCTGCTTTAGGAATATGTCTGTCAACACGATAACTCTAAAATGGATCGAGGTAGACAAATGAAATTTGGTATATGACTTTAATATCAAAATTGTAGTTTTCTATCAAATTTTGTGTGAAATCCGTTTGCCGGAATTTTGTCACCAGTGTGCGTGCATGTGAACACAATAGTTCAAAAAGGCGACAACCTAGATATATGAAATTTCGAATAAGGTTTTATCGCTTGTAGATCACACCAGTGATGGGGGATTCAACGGAGCGCGCGGTCTCTGGGACCACAATCTCCGAAACATAACAAGTAACATCAGTGACATAACTGTCTTGATTTCAACATGATTGCTTGGATCCAATGATCCGTCGCAGTCGAAAATATCTCCCCAGGTGAGGATCGAACTCACAATCGTCAGATTGCTCTTACGAGTGGTTATGAGGCTGACGCTCTGCCTACTGCGCTACTGAGGCTTAACGCTTACAGATCTATGTCAAATGTTGGACTAGATCTGTCTAATATTTAGCTGTCTGCCTGTCTGTCTAATGTGTATGTGGATGCGATAACGCAAAAAAAGAAAGTTAAATGAATGAATTTATTATGTGATATTTACACCATAATCGTAGACCTGTATCAAATATTAGTCTAAATCTGTCAGTTTATCAGTCCATGTGCATGCGAACACATTAGCTCAAAAACGCGACGAGCTACCTAAACGAAATTAGGCGAGTGGTCTTGACTCTATAATTAAAGATGCATATCAACTTTTTGGACTCAATCGATCAAGGAGAACAGATCCAAAAAAGAATTCTCTGTTCTTCTTACTATACAGCAAAGGTAAACGCAAAACGGGCCAAATTGTAGAGTTATACGATGCGATAAAAATCTAAGAGAGAACAGTCCCGTTGGTTTATTTCGTATGGACAAGCTGTCATTTCTTATTGCAGATGTTGTAAAACGTGTGATGAAACTAAGACAAGCTGAACCTGCCCTCAAGACATTGAACTACACTTTCAAAGAGATATTCTGAAAGGAATATACAAGAGATAATATAAATCAAGCTTCTTAGTAGAGACAAATATAAAGTTCGTTGAGTTTGTCAGCCGTTGCTGTTTCTTTCCGTTTCTGATCTAAACTTAAAATCGCCGCTCTACAAGTAACACCACCTATCTCAATTCTTTGAAATTTCAAAGAGGAAGAAAAAAATTGAATTTTTTACCACCAATAACGAATATTTCTGAATTTTTTGAACATCTTTTTTAACATGAGACCACATATTTCTACCAGATGAGTAAAAATTCAGAAATATTCGTTATTGGAGGCGAAAAATTAAATTTTTTCTTCCTCTTTGAAATTTCAAAAAATTGAGATAGGTGGTATTGCTTTTTAAGCGACGAAATATAGAAACACAAACGTTAAAACAGCTAGTTTTCCATAAAATATTTTTAAAGATCTAAAACTCTGTTTTTAAACCAGTTTTTCCAGTTTGTTAAACCTTTACGCATATATTCCTCAAAACTGAAGCACAAAAACTGTAAATATACATGCAAATTAATCAATGCAAAACGCGTTGTAAAATTCAACTGAGTAATTCTAATTTTAAGAGCAACTCTAAAAACAGAGAATATTTCATTTCCGTTTTGGTCTTATTACCCAGAAAGCATTGTCCTATCCAAACAAGTTTATGAACCATAAAATAATTATATGTTATCAAGCAGCTTTAACTATAATTATTAGTAATTAATATCATACATTTACTATTCAAATATTATCAACTCAAATATTATTAATAATAATTAAGAGTTTTCATTCTTTGAACAATGCGCAATGTCAGGACTATTTATCGATCTTCTGATCATTAGTAATTGACTAAAGTAGCATTATTTGATGTCAATCACGCGCAGATGAAACAAAAGACACATTTGTTATGTCATTTTAATAGTTACTTAGGGGTTGTATGATATAATTTATCACAAAGTTGTTGAAGCAGCTGTATGTTTAACGTTTATCATGCAATTCAATACTATCTTCCATTGTGTAGATTATTCAATTTTTTAAACTTATATCACTGCGAAGCAAACGAGTAAATATATTATCACGCCAGCCTGTTATAAAGGCATATAAATATACAGGGTGATCATAAATTATTGGATGAATTTCAAAAAATTAATTAAAAAAATAATAATATTACTACTTTGGGTTTTTTTACAACGAGAGTGCATTAATTTTTTTTGTTTCTTCTTTTTTTCAGATAGGTAGCGCGCCGTCACGGTGGTCTAGGTGGTCGTAAATTATTGGACATCTCCCCATTTTTGAGACCCATTATCTGCGAAACTATTAAAGATAGAAGAAAAATAAAAGCATATATTTGTAGGGAATTTTACGCTCTTTAATTTGTTAAATCAATTGTAATTCGAAAACTGAATAGTTCTCGAGATATTTAAGAAAAACTACGAAAAGAAACCAGAAAACGCGCATCGGCTTCTGATGATTAACCATTGCGTATAGAAATCTCTCGCTGTAGCAAATTTAGAACGCCGTAATGGTACGCATCTATCTGAAAAAAACTTTTTATTTGCTTTCTCATTTAAAAAAAAAACGCAGTCGTAACAGTATTAGGTTTTTTAAATTAATTTTTGAAATGGGTCCCATAATTTATGACCCACCCTGTATATAATGGTTCTTTTTCTTATTTTCTCGTGTATGAAATACTAAAAGCCCTGAAATCGTCGAGAATTCGACTTGGAGATTTTGATGAACTTCCACGTTTATGCTTTCAGTAAAAGCACGTTTATGGAATTATATCTGTCTGTGAATACGATAACTCAGAAACGCAGCGAGGGTAAAGAGTGAAATTTGGTACTGGCGTTAGCATCAAAAACCGTAGTATGCACGTAGTATTGTGGATGAAATCTGCGAATGCGTAGTTTGTCTGTCTGTCCGTCCGCGTGCACGTGAGCGTCATAACATAAACTCACAACAATGCACTGCTCGTTCTCAGACACGGAAACCCTCCGCGCTTTCGAGCATGCGGCAGGTGGAGTTGATTTCACCAAAATAGGGGTGAAGTGAAGAATGGAGGGGGAGATGTTTACATTTTACTTAGCAGCATATAGAAACATTTTATTTTCATTTATTAAATAGCTGTAAAGACTAACTGAAAAAAAGATGATTAACTAAAAAAAAATACACCTAATCGGACGAAGACCATGACCTAACAAAGAAATCCGGAAAAGCGTTCTTCTTACTCATTGCCTGTCACCCCTTTTCGTAGTAAAATCGTCCAAAAAATGCTGGTTTTGGGTTTGTAAAACAAACAATGGATGATTAAATTTAGTTTGTGATTGTGTTTCCATCAAACGAGTTCCGCGAGTTCACAGATGAGAAGACTCCGGATAAGTAAGCGGGTTCTCACTTCCGTGTTGGGAATAGAAATGCTGGGGGCCGAGTTGCTTCCACTCCGATGACGGGACGTTCCTCCTTAGGGAGCGGTTGGGCCGTGGCCGGTGATCGCTACTAGGATTCCGACCTTAGTTCCCGACTGCTGTCCTGGCGCCGGTCATTCACAAACTCTGGTACGCCAACTGGCATGACAGGGGTAACTCGTGCGATATGTTTGCGTCTCCAGAATTGTAAATGTGAATATAAAAATTTGGAAGGAATCCATCAACATGTTGACTGTCTGTTGGTTTGTCTATTCGGGTATGTATACTCGCGATAACTCAAAAACGCAAGGAACTTTGGCACGTGATCTTTACACCAACACAGTAAATTAGCGGTTCTCATCCTATGGGCCGCGGTCCACTTGTGGTCCTTCGGATAGCGTATTAGTGGGCCTTGGAACGATAGTCAAGAGTCGAAGTCAGGGAAGCTTCAAGAGTCGTCACTCATTTTTCTGTTTTATATAAAATATATTTTTAATCCTTCTACAGTAAGTTTTACTAATTACCGACAAATACGTGCATATAATATACAGGGTGCCCACTAAAGTCCCTTACCACCCTTTTAACTACCGAATGGCTGCATCTATCTTCTAAGAGTGGTGTCTAGGCATGGTAAAGTGACTATGCGCTACTGGATGAAACCACTTACAGAGCCACCTGGTGGAAAACGGTCGAGTTAGCGTTATTATCTCTAAAACGGTGCGAGATAGAGGGAAAAAAAGTGAATTACAAAGTTGTAGAGCATTATCGATTTAGTACAAAAAGACACCTTCTGGTCATGAATGCTAAAAAAGAACGCTTAAAATGCACATTTGTTTGTTTGCGGCTTCCGAAATTGTGACGTCACGAAACTTGAACGAAAGGAGAAGAGATTATCTTTCGGACGAAAAACTAGCCCCCACACAGTGCGGGTGGCACAGCGGTATCGCTTGTAATTTATAATCAAGAGGCATAATAAAGGTAGCTTGTGATAACTAGTTTTTTTTTCTTTGGAAGAATGTTTTGTCACGTGCCAGTGTAGGAAATCGAGAAAAACCAAATGCGTGTTTTAAGCGTTCTGTTCTAAGCATTCACGTCCACAAGGTGTCTTTTTGTTCTAAATCGATAATGCTCTACAACTTTGTAATTCACTTTTTCCCTCTATCTCCTACCGTTTTAGAGATAATAACGCTAACTCCACCGTTTTCCACCAGGTGGCGCTGTAAGTGGTTTCATCCAGTAGCGCATAGTCACTTTACCATGTCTAGACACCACTCTTAGAAGATAGCTGCAGCCATTCGGTAGTTAAAAGGGTGGTAAGGGACTTTAGTGGACACCCTGCATAAATGTATTATATGTGTTTTTATTTTTTGCTTGTATTCTGATTAGTGGGCCTCAGAATATTTTTTACACAATAGGTGGTCGGTACAATCAAAAAGTTTGGGAACCAGTCTTGTAGATGATTATAAATTTTGGACCAAATAAGTCGTTGAAAATAAAGTGCAATCTCTTTCACTGAACGGCGAAGGTAAGCCATAATGTGGAAGGGGAGAACTCATCAGCTAGTTAAATAGAATAACGTGTTGTTAACTAAAAATCAAATGAGCGCGGTGGGTGAGAGCATGTTCTCGATGGAGAAAGCAAAGATTTTTATTGTACTGTTTGGCAGTTACTTCTGTGAAAAATAAACAAGCATTAGAAAAATTAAAATAAAGTTTTAATAATTTTGGTTGTTTGTGTTACAATGTTCAGGTTAATTAAAAAATTAACCTAACCTGACGTTTCTTTTTTGTATTCTCCAACAAAAATTGTGCGTGTATCTATATAAATGAATGTAAAGAAAGCATGAAAAATGATAAAAAAAATTAGTTTTTAACTTAATTCTCGAAATAATTAATTAAAAACATTCATTGTTTGATTTAAATTTCTTCGTTAAATTTGTTTTTTCCTTCTTCATGGCAAAAATATAGTAGGCAAGTAATTGTCTTAAAGAATTTCTTAATAAATTATTCAAAATTAATTTTTAAAAAGTTAAAAGCTACAATGGAGAG